CTCTCGTTCTCACCCCCCCTTCATCCTTGCGCAGGGTATGTTAATCAGAGTCTGCTTTATTATTATGCAGTCCACTTTCCTAGTCTTTTCTCAGATTTGAGGTACTATGCGCATGAAATCAAGTAATAGCTCCCTCGGACTCTTGGGTGTAGCAGCAATATTCGTATTCGCACAGGGACTATTTTATCGAAGTAAAATTGGCAAAAGTAAGCATTATAGTTTGAAGATTTACACTCCATTCCTTGGGTTTTTAAGTTAAATGCATGCAGATGGTTGCAAAGAAATTTGTTGAACTTCGCAGACCCCGTGTTTCAATATGAAAATAGTATCAGAGCCCAAGCCATTGCATCATGGAATACGTCTATGGTGAAACAGGCCTACTGTCAGCCAACTAGCTCCAGTCTCCGCCGCGTCTATCCTCTTTCTATCTTCAATACCAAATTTATGACTTGCTATGCCCTAGTCTCTTTTGTGCCAACCCACAAATGTTGTGGTACCGCTTGCTTTGATAAGGCTAAATGTTGAACCACAAAGCTTGTGGGTTGGCACAAAAGAGACTAGGGCATAGGAAGTCATGGAATTGGTGTTAGGGATAGAAACAGGATAGACACGACGGAGACTAAACCCAGTTGGCTGACAGTAGACCTGTTTTCCCATAGACGTGGTCCATGCTGCAAAGGCATGACCATGAGAATTACGCAGGAGCTTTAGCCTCAAGTTAGTCTCCCAGACCCAGTGTGGGAAATTACGCCTCGATTAGCACAGATGGGGTGGCAGGGATCGAGTGAAATATTTGAACCAGGAGGATAGCAGACGGATCCTACTGGGCAAGAGTAAGACTGATAAAACCTATGGGAGGAGGACGGCGTAGCAATATGGCAGACTTTGATCAACATTCCTAGCACAAAGATGAAGGGGGGTGGGGGTGGGGGTGAGAGGGGTGAGAAAGCCAGTACGGAGTGTGGAGTGTTCTCATGAAAGCCGCTCAAAAGGGCGAACCCTACCACATTTAAATAAGCAAAAAATTGTGATGGTGAAGACGTGATACGAGGATACAGGATTGGTGATTAGGCCAGGGCAGCAGGAGAGATACCACGATTGTTTAGCAGACAATTGGTCAAAGGATGGGCTTCACTTGTCTCTGACGGGTCGCAATTTGGTGCTAAGAATGACAATGCTTACTGAGGATGCCGGCAAAACGTCTGGGAATGTACCACATCCACGGTCTGTCGCTGGACGTTATCGTGCATACTATGGACCCTGGACTAGATGCGCTCGTCTAGGTCTCCCTGCCAATATGACCAAGTTGCTAAAACAATTTCTAACCATTTAATGTGTATAAATGTTCTTTCGGTAGCCTCGAAAACCTATTTATAAACGAAAACTAAGTAATGTGGTCCATTGCTATAGCAAATATGACTTTGCTTCTTCAACACTCTCAACACATAATGCCTGGCCTTCCTTGAAATTCACATCTGCCCTGGGACTCAAGGCCCCTCGTGACAATGTGGCTTATTGGCTAACATGTGATATTAAGCACTTCACCGTCATAGTCGGAGTCCTGCCTGGGGAGTTTATGAAACCTAGGCGAGGCCGAAACGGCAGTCAACTCCTGCCTGAATAAGAATATCTTTTCGTAAAGTAAGGCTATGAGAAATGCAATGGAATCGTAAGATCTATTCATAGCAGTGTGGGAAAATTCAACTATTAATTCCATTATCACCTTAAACGAAATAGGGTTTAATACATTTCATCTTACTTATAAGCTTTTACGAGGCTGCATTTCCTTGATTCCGTGTGCAGAGAGCCATATTACTCAAATATGTGCCTAAGTATTATATGGTTCGTAATTAATTTGCTGAGCCCTAGCTAGGCTTTTCGTCGTCTATATATCCTATTATAATGCATTGGTAGATTTTGGGAAAACTGATTATGAAGTCAAATCTGCCCCCAGAAGAACATAAGTTCTGAAGAGATTAAAAGCGGAGAATCTTCATGTTTTTGATTATGATTCTATCCTTTATTTTTAATTATGCTAAGTAAAACAGCTATTTAGCCCCCTTCAAATAAATACTGAGATCTTCTGTTTGATGTTGTACATTTCATTTAGTTTGGAAAGGAAAGGGTTCATAAATTAGCCTGACCTTAAACGATGGGCGTTTGCATCATAATTGTGACTAGGGATTTGTGGGCATAGTCCTCTCATCTAACGTCCTCCGTTTCCATAAAATTCTTGATGAACTTTCGTGTTACACAAATTTACTAGCAAAGTTAAAGTTACAACAAGATCAATTTTTTAAGGGATTATTCGAAACAGTTTATTTTTCCTTGATAAGTCTACCAGTATATCATAGATATATATGTGATGTGGTAGATGAATTGTCCCACAATTAGGCTTCCATTCGATTTCACATAGCCTTTTGTCCCAAAGGGTATTATGATATGGAAAAATGTAACGCATACTTCATCCCGATAACAAGTGAAAAGAAACCTCGAATAAAAGATTGCTGGCATACTTACATATTTTCACGTGGATGCTTATTAAGACACTTTGATAAAGTGTTTCAACAGTAGGCTGCCTGTCATTTAAGAAGTGACGACTGTGATACCTTGCTTGGACTTGATAAGTTTATCTATGTGTTAACTAGAATAACGTCAATCTGATTATACTCTGACTGCTTGGACTGTTTTGTTGATGGGCGTACACAATACAGACCCTTCAACGCTTGTCGAGGATCCACAGACTTTTGATAATGTGGACAAATTTTTCGTGTTTGAGTAGAGTTTCGAGACACGAAAAATAAGTAACGTAGTCGATTGCTATTATGCTTCATCGACAATCCCACCAAAGAATATGATATGGCAGAATACCTGGCCTTCCTTAAAATATACATTTGCCCTGTGACTCAAGGGCACTTGTGGCAATGTGGCCGAGTGGTCAACGTGTCAAGCTCACATTCTGCACTGTCACGGTTCGACTCCCGCTGGGGGTGTTGATAAGACCGATGCGAAGTCGAACCTGCAGTCCACTGGTACTGGGATGAGAACAACTTTTGAGAAAGCAAGGCGTCAGCTCTACTCATATCATTGTGGGAAAACTCTACTACCAGTCCTTCATCACCTAAAACCAAATCGGGTGAATACATCTCAATGTGGACCATTTAGAACAACATACGGATACCGATTACTCGACTACAGTTTCATTACCCCAACCGGAAGCAAGCCTCCGTGCATGAGCCGACCAAGCTCATTGTCATCCAAGGCTCAGCTTCACCAGATTAGGGCTAGAATCTCTATGAGTCGACTTATCAGCTCAAATCTTGTTCCAGCAGGCAGCATATTGCAGACTTCCCCAATTCATGGATCACCCAAAGTTGTATTTTTGCAATGAATTGAATACGGAAACACAGGACAGAAGGCACATGGAAAAAGCGAGCTCTTTTGATTGGCAATTAGGCCGCCAGCAGAGGAGAGAATAAAAAAACCAGGGTTGCCCAGATGTGGTGGGATGAATTTCCTTGCCTGGGCTGCCTCAATGTGCGAACCAAATCTATCATTATCGGCATGCGCTTGCTGCCGTAGGTCAAGTGTTACATGTGGTTGCGAAACGGCTTCTGAGGGGTCGTCCGCTACGCGAGAGTGTCGCATGTGAAATTAGCCTGACCTCACCACATGCCTTCCGATTTCTAACGCGTGTTTGTGCCGGCAAATAACTCCGGTTGTGGAATCGCAACGATTATGGGCAAATTTTATGACCTCTGTCAAGTTTTTTGCGGGCAGGCTTCTCCTCAAATCTGGTCTCAATACCGGGCAGGAGCAAGTCAAGCGCCATTGCCCCGAAAGGTTGGGAAAAGCCGAAAATTATATGCTCATTTTGCGCCAGTCCTAAAGTTGATTCCATCTGCCTCCCAGCTTTACCAGGCCCACGTGCAATAAACATCGTCATGCTACAGATCCGTTTATTTGCATCACTGGGAAACTTTATCGCCTTACCTATCCGCCAGATGTATCATTTGATTATTCATTTATGTAGACCTCCCTTCTTATCCTTTTATCTATCTACCTATTCGTCAATATTTCTATCCACCTACCTTCCCAACCATTAAACAATCTATCCATACACCGATCAACACACGCCGCCTAATGCCTGCTTACATAACAACGTATATATTTCGGATTGACTTACTTTAATACAACGATTTTTTTAACATCCTAAAATCTCACGCCTAAGCAATTTAAATTTAAATTTATCTTTTTATTACCTGTATGGCAATCTACTTTTATGCTGAAACGAAAGAAATATGGCTTATTTTTACTTCAATTGGTATTTTTAAACGGTAGAATTATTCTTTGCGTTGGTTTTTGCAAGAGTTAACATATCTCGAGAGTTCGCATACTCACAAATAAACCCATAGATTGAAATGCCGTTCTTCCACTTTACCCACTTTTCCCGTGAATTTGAGTTTTTTTAGCTGCTTTACTTGCTCGAGATTTGCCTTTTTGGGGGAGTCATTGTTACTGTTGCTAGAATGCATCAAACCAGTGTCATCTTCACTTAAAATTGACGGACTCGTTTCGCATCACTGCACCTGCCTACACGATGACATC